CGGGCCGACTCGGACCCGTTGTCCGTGACACTGCTGATGTGGATGGAAAAAGATGATGTGGACACTTTTGACAACGCCACAAACCGAAATGGTTGATCGCATAAGTCTCACGGAATAGCACTGCTTCGTTTCGATCGAAGGACCTTTGGATTATGAGCCCAACACTCTCCCACTAAGCTACAGTGCTGTTATTCATTTGATTCTGGTCTGGGGGGTTGGACGGGGTACGGAGTGGTTAACTGGAGTGATGTGCTGAGACGTGGTGCTGTCGGACCCTATCTGACAGTCAGGAGCACCAAGCGTCCCATTGCTCTCCACTAGCGCGCAAACGGGTCCTAACGCTAGAACACAAACGGTCTATTCATTTGGTGCGGTCGCCAGGTTCAAGCCCTCTGCCCACTCTCCAGGCCGTCATCGGCACAACGCCGACCCAGGGGGCTCAACCACTTTTCGATCCTTGATGGAGGTTGTGCTGGAGAATCTTACGGCCACCCGGATTCTCCACCCCCGGTCGAAGACGACCCACTACCACCATTCACCACTGCGAATCAGTTGAACTAAAAGATGTGCCCCGCTCCGTTACGGACTGCGCTACCAGCGCGGCAATATACGTCGTAATTACAAATTGTTCGAGTTGGAACCTCCCCAAATAACCGATTATGGGCCGGCTGGAAGAATGACGAGGAGCGGCAGTCTGTCCGAAGGGCGGAAGGCAGAACTCGAACCGGCGTCTTTTTGATTGCAATTTACGAACCTACCATTAGACTGTTAAGCCTTACAGCCGTCACGCTACGTACGCGACACAAGGGGGCCGATTTTGACCCTTGGGGGCCGACTTGGACTTTGATGACGTCTCGGGAGGGGGGTCCTCTTTTTTGAGGCTCTGGCTCAGCCCTGGAGGAACACGTAGCAATGAAGAAATCTTCGGAGTCCCTTCGGACTCTTAATCTTGCAGTCGACGGTTTAAGCCTCGCAAGCGCATCGAAGTCACGGACTCGGGA